TCAACATTGCTATCTAATTCAGATGCAGCCAAGATACGTGCAATTGGCACTAGGACTTTGTTAGGAAGGATAGCATCGCAACCATATACCAAAAAAATAAGGTGAGAAACCTGTGGCAATCTTGGATGACATCTAATGAGCCTAAAGCGTATCCTGCAAATGAATGCTCCATCCTCCTTCATACTCATGGACCATCTTGCTCAAAATCCTTAGCAAACTTTTGTTAGTTACTGCCTCCACTTGGCCATTGCCTTGGGGATAGTATGGAGTGGACTTTCGGTGCTTGATCTTACAAGTGTCCAGCAATCTTCGCACATGTTGATAAATAAAAGAAGTTCCATTGTCACTTACAATTTTGTATGGGATCCCAAAGCGACAAATTATGTATTCCTTGATGAAGTTCGACACCGTTGGACCTGTAGCCTTGCGAAGAGGGACAACTTCCACCCACTTAGTGAAATATTCAATGGCCACCAATATCCAAATATAACCTTCAGATGGAGGATGGATAGGACCAATGAGATCTAAACCCCAAGTATGAAAAGGCCAAGAAGTCTTCATAACTTGTAATAAATTAAGATGGGAATGAATGAGACTAGCATGAACTTAACAAGTGTGGCATCGTTGGATGAAATTGGCAGCATCTTGCTTCATGCTTGGGCAGTAATAGCTGTGAGATAAAAGCTACTCATACAACTTTCTTCGTCCTTAATGCTCGCCGCATTCTCTTGCATGTATTTCGACGATAATTTTCTGAGACTCCATCAATGATAAGCAACGAAGGGGCTCACCAGCGAAGTTGGTGTGAAACAAAATTCCACCATCCATAAAAAACTTTAACAAAGATCTCTTCAAATTGTGTGCATCCTTTAGGGATTCTGGCCATATTCCCTAAGCAAAGTATACCATGTAAGGATGGTGACAATCTTAGACGTTGTCAGCAAAGAAGCATTCTTCATTTTGATAATAAGTTTGTTGACAAGATACACATTACTATTGGAATTTAGTGGCTTGCCAAGCCATATCTAGCCAATAGTACCCTACTCACTGGATCCGGTGGTACAAGCTTACACGGCTATCTTACCCACATGTGCGATCATGAATTTCTCTAAGCCTATGGTAAGCCTCCTTATCGTTGACACATCTAGCCAAGATATCACTAGGGAGGCGATAATATAGCTCATGAGAAATAATAGCATAGCTGGATAAATTCTTCAAAGGCACATTGGATTTTTGTTGTAGCAGGGCATTATAAATCGCGTACCGCTAATCAACATGGTCAGCTAGCTCGAGCAAAGCAGGTTCACAGCCATGATAGATAGGTTGCTCTTTCTGGACAAGTTGGATGCTAAAAGGACTTTGGCCATAGGCACCCTTGAAGCGATTATGGCTAAGGCATCAACTAATCGGTTCTTCATCCATGATACCTACTCATATCTTATGCTAGCAAAGGATTGCTCTAAGTTTTTGGCTATAAGAATGATATGGCACGAGATGTTCTTCTTGGACAGCAAAAGTACCTTGAACTTGGCCAAGGATCAAACTTGACTTACCAATGATTTTTAGGCACTGCACACCTGCCTCATTTGCCATAGCAAGGCCAATGAGATACGCTTCATAGTCTGCCATGTTGTTTGTGCATTGGAAATCAAGCTTGAATGAAAACACTATGTCATGGCCCTTGTCATTTCTAAGAACAATGCTAGCCCCAGCTCTTTCAGTTGTGGAAAAACCATTGAAGTATAATGTCCATTCTTCCTCAATTTCTTGCGCAGCAGCAACCTTATATCTTGGGACTTCATTAGAAATAGGATATTGGACTTCGCCAAAGAACTCAAACAGCAAACTTGCAACAGCTTGTCCCTTTATGGCAGTGGGATTAATGCATGTAATATCATATTGAGACAATTGGAGAAGCCAATTAGAAAGATGGCCAATGAGCATAGGTCGTGTTAAAAGGTACCAAATGGGCTGAGACTTGGTGATGAGTTGTATCTTATGGGCTAAGAAACAATGTCGAAGATGCTGAGATACATAAATTAATGCAAGGCAAATTTTCTCAACAAAAGAGTACCTTGACTCAATGCCCTTGAGGTTCCAACTGACATAATAAACTGGTTGTTCCTTGCCTTGTTGGTAGTCTTGGGCGACCAATGCTCCCACAGCTTTGTCAGAAGTAGACAAATAAACTTTAAGTGTTTTGCCTTGGAAGGGGACAGATATGGTTGGTAATCTAAGCATGAGATCCTACAGATGTGAAAAGGCATGTTCCTGCTTTATTGTCCATATCAAAGTGACTCCTTTCTTTAGTAGTGGGCCAAATGCGGATAGAATTTCTACCAGCGAAGGGATGAATCAGTGAATGTATGAGATCTTGTCGATAAAGCTTCACAACTGTTTAAGATTCTTAGGTGGCTACATGGTTCAGATAGCTTCAAACTTGGCTAGATCCACATTAATGTCGTGTTTACTCACAAGGAAGCCTAGAAACTTTCTAGTGTAGACACCAAATGCACACTTCGCTGGATTCATTTTCAATTTGTATAAGCAGTATCTATTAAAGACATTTTTCAACACATCGAAGTGGCCCAGTCTTGTTTTGGATTTCACCACAATGTTGTCAATTTAGATTTCAATATACATGTGGATGACATCATGAAAAATAGCCACAATAACTCTTTGATAAGTAGCCCTAGAATTTTTAAGTTCAAAAGGCATAATAACATAGTGAAAATTACCAATAAGAGTGTGGAAAGCAGTTTTCTCCACATCGCTAGGGCATATACTAACTTGGTTATATCCGCTGTTACCATCCATGAGAGAATACATTTCACAGCCAACAGTGTTGTCCATCAGCACATTCATATTCGAGATAGAGAATTTATCTTTAGGTCATGCCTTGTTGAGGTTGCAGAAATCAATGCAACACATGATCTGCCCATTCTTCTTTCGAACTGGCACAATATTGGCTAGCCAAGCAGGCTTTTTGGTTGGCTTGATGAATCTTGCAACCAAAAGCTTCCCAACCTCTTCTTTAATTTTGACAGTAACTTCTAGATGGAAGGCATGATTTGGCTGCACAACTTGCTTCATATTAGGATCAACGTTTAAAAGAATACGCTAATAAAGCTAGGTCAAGCCCTAACATTTTATCACAATTCCAGGTAAAAACATCTTTATATTCCTGAAGCAGATCAATCATTTTAGCTTTTTCGTCAGCAGAGAGTGGTGTTGATATGTACATGTTTGGGGTTCGCTAGATCATCTCCATGATCAATAGCTTCGAGGGACTTAAGAGAGGTAAGTGCTGGTTGAGCCTCATGGAAGGTTGGCAGCTTGTATGACGGTACTAGATGATCAACTTCGCCAGAAGAATCTAGATGCTCAACAAGTATTTTATTTCTAGCCTCAAGTGTGAGGCATTCTACTTTGTTGGAGAGATGTTGTTCATCAATCGAATTATCTCTCTTTGAAGTGAAGGGTAAATGATTCAAAGACATGGCTACACTACTGGCAATAGGGCTATCTCACGCATGGCTGAGAGGCCTCGTGCACCTTTATAAAGTTTACTTGATCCTCCATTTGGGAAAGATAGTTCGAGTGCACTTTGGGCATGCTTGGATAGTCTTTCTTGCCTCCTCCTTCTACCTCTTATGTTCTAGGGCACTTCGTAGATCAAGATCAGGATTATCTTTGATGTCATTCCATATTGGCAAGACAATGCCACCTAGGCGAGATACTATCGCCAGAGGGGCCGAACTCATCATAAAAAATAGCTTCAATGAAGTGGGTCTTAGTCTGATAAAATGGAAATGGGTTGGCAAAGATGTAGAAAACCTTTGCATTAGATGACCCTTGACACATTAATGATAAGTAGAAAGAACAATTTTGTGTCGATGTAGCAATGGCCATCCTAGCAATATATGATAAGAAACTTCCACATCAATAACTTAAAATGTATTTTAGGATTGGATTGGACCAACCTTTACTTCAAGCTAAATGTATCCATAGGCATGCTCACTACTACTACCAAAGCCAACAATGCTGAGCGGAGACTTAACGATTCTTCAATAGGGGATTCATACAACAATGATGGTGCTCAACGATATCAGGTTGAGAGAGGATCCTGTTTCAACAAATGCATGCCTGACACTGACAGAGTTAATATGAGCAAATAAGTAAAGATGCTTTCTATGGTCAGGATATGGCGCCTCCATATCTTCGTCAATGAATGTGATGGCATTGGAAGACTCAAGATAAGCACGGCTGGCATGTGCTTCTACATTAAGGCATTCTCCTTTAGTCTCATTGGCGATGGAGAGTATGGCCTCTGTGGCTCTTCGTCGTGCCTCGGTAGTGAAACCAAACTAATCAAATAACATCTTGAAATTTGGAGTTCGCTAAAGTGCATGGACAGAGAGGTCGGGTGCATCATCAAGGAATTCAACTATTGGTTCACTTGCTCCAACACTTTCTACATGAGTGAGAACATTGACAACACCTTGGTTATGTTGTAGGAAAAGATCCTTGTCCACCCTTTATCTTTTGTTCGAAACTTCTAACAGTCCTTCCGAAACCCATCGATGATATATCTTTCTTAAGGAAAAACAATCCGTGGTTGCATGGTAACAACAGTACTTGCGGTTGCGCTTGTCACCATCGTTGGGCTCGCGATGCAATTGAGGCAATGTGATGGCATCGTCAGCAATCCACTGTTTAAAGAGCACACCAAGTTCTTTGACAGTTAGAGGAGTGGGCGGTGGTGATGTTGTGTCGCGATCTCTCTTTTTCTGACCCTGTCCTTGGCCACGAACCAAGATAGCAAAGGTGTGAGCAGCGGTTTTCTCTTTTGCCAACTTCATAACAGACTTCCTAGCAGAGATGGCTTTAACAGAAATAGTTGTTTTTTTTGTAGCACCAAGCAACCTTACAAACTGATTGATCTTGATGTTTTCAAGAACAACGCGATATTCCAGATGCATGTTGTTGATGCAAATCTCCACCAAGAAGGACTCAGCATGGCCACCATAGCAATTAAGGGCCAAATCCCTAAACCTCTTCAAATAGATCATTAAA